ATCACGGTTCTGATGAAGATACCCTCCAAAACACTTTTTTCATCAAGTAGAAGCAATTTCATCATGTAAGCTGAGCAAAATGAATCAACCACTACTTATTCTCCAATAGTAGTGAGATGCACAACGTTTCTAAGACCAGAATATTGCTAAGAGTAAAAGGGTTTCTTACTCTCAATAATGCTGTGAAGCTTGATTGTAATCTGTTGTGTATAAACAGTGTGGAACAGTATGATCAATAGTTTAGTGGTCGACTGAGGAATATGCCTGCATTTTGCCGTTCCGGTTTCGACCCTCAGTGGATTCCCACGGAATTCGATACCAGCTACTCCGATATGATGCTGTCTAATCATTTCCAAGTATAATCACTAAATCACTGTTCTTCCTCGTTTATTCATACCTCCCGTTGGTGTTGCACTCGGAAAAATTGGGAAAGTAACGTGATTTTCGTCTTGGATTAGTATGCCCTTCCCCTAGTTCTCCTACTCCTGCCGTGAAAGAACAGGTGAATTAGAGGAGCCGTGATTCTGTGATCATTGGGTGACGGATCCAGAAGCAGAGTAGGAAAAACCGTGCTTATTTCTTCCGAGCAGACTTCCACATACTGGTCCAAAAGTAAACAGCCAGTGCCAGCATGTGCGAACAGTCAACTAGACTGGTTGGCATGTTCTGACCTTTCTGACTCAGTGCAAAACATCGCAATTGAAACCCAACAATAAAGAAGTAGACCGAGTAACCTTGACGACAGCATGCTGTTTCACATGACCTCACGGTTTGTTTAATCGGGGCGACGATGATATTTGTAACCAAGGCAATCAATCTTAGAGGAGTAGGGTGGAGGAAGAGCAAGACAATTTTTCAGCGATAATCAAACTGACAGCACAAATCGGACTGTCCACTATCGTGTCAGAAACCCGAAGACGGTGTCACGTCAAAGTATTAACGCTGAATATTCCGGTTCGAATTCATTAGTTATCGATGCAATACCTTTTTTGTGATTTCAAACCGTGATTGTCTTGGCATACCGCGTATGAACCGCTCAGTTATTTCTACCTGTCAGTCTACCCATATCTTAGAATGAAGATTTATATTGGACAGAAACAAACAGGGATTGACATTCAAACAGCAAATTGCTCGGGCTTAATTGAACTATTTTCCACTGTTATAGAATAGCAGTTTTACAATTAAAGTGGAGGGCTATCAGCTCTCTGTGCTAAGATAAAAACGTGCCCTGAACAGTGGTTTCCTCTANTTCCTCTATACTGAGACTCAGCAGCAATGAATACTCTCTTTGTGTTCCTGTCGGTGATTGAATAACCAACACAGAACTTGTATCTTGGAGTTCGCACCGGAATAAAACGAGAAACTGCTTTAGGGGAGAAGTGTATTATAAATTCTGGGATACAGGAATGATCTTATTTAAAAATACACTAATCGGAGTCTTCGTTTACGGGGGTTGGGGTTAGGGGTGGGGGTGGGTGGATGGGAGGGTACCATGAACCTAGCGCTGATGTTCAAACACCTTAACAAAGTTTCACTTTCCGTTTCATGCATACTTTTGCTAACTACAATAATGTGGATACTCGTTTGAAAGTTGTTAAATTTGTCTATCCCGATGATGGGTCTATATACCGTAGGATACAGTCAGGTTTATGTAATTGGTTTAATTAAAAGATCCACAACTGTTGTGAAACTCTCCCTCGGTGGCACTCAAATGACAGGAAAATCCTGATTAGTCATTCAGAAGTATGCAATGCTTATTCAAATTTGTGAAATTTGGGATTTGTGCACCCCCGCATATTTGTGAATTCACGCAGCAAATAAAACAGATGTTTATCTTATATATTCATGATCTCAAGGTGTTTATTGCATACCGCAGAGGTATGGGGTTCGAGGCTTAGCAGGGCCACAAACGTGCCGATGCGTACCAACGAGGACCAACTAGCTGTTTAGTGATGTTTGTTGACTGTAACTCACAAAATGGCTATGCATTTAAGAATACTATTCTCCACACTAATTGTGCGTCCCGACTAGGCCCAAATCAGCTATCCTGTGAAATCAGAGAGATAGAGAGAGAAATTGATTGTGCAAGGTGAATGTGCACATGACCCGATTGTCATCGCAGGCGGAGTCATCCATACAGACTACTAGGGTGTGAGGACTCCGAGACGAGGGACACATTCTGGAATGGACGGCGTATCTTGGCCCACTTTCTGGTGTTTTTCTTGTTCTGGGCACATTTTCTCACGCTTTATTTGATCTGCACATCAATATGTCTGTAGTTTTCAATCAATCTGCACTTAATTTGTGTCAAAACTTCGAGCTGCCCCGTGGGACGAGTTAAGATAATCCGTGGGAGTAAGAACAAACGTGGTAGATGTCTTTGACAAGTAAATGGAAACTCCCCTGGGCGATAAGGAAGAGGCCACAGATAACTTGTTCGAAAGTCAAAAATTTAGGTTATTTCCCTTTTATATCGTTGTGATTTCTTTAGAGTCCATATTGGCTACGACATCGATGTTACCCAGATGAATATTGATCCATTTAGATTATTACTCGGGTAAACTATTTGTAAGTAGTGCTACTCTCAATCAACTTACCAGTTTCAAAAGAGGAATGCTATTAGAAAAACGAAATTTTTGTTTCCAAGGGTATTGGCCGATAAAAATCACTGAACAGCTATTTAGTTCTTGTTTGGACTCGAATGCCTAGCAAATTATTATTCTGTTTTGCTACACTCGCAAACTTTTCGTGTCAGAAGTTGAGGTTTATAGGCCCCTGAGATTTGCGATCATCAACCGACACCCTGAGCATTGCATACGTTGTTTTATTGAATTTTCAGGTGAATTCTTTCACAAATGGCATGAATTAGTTACATGGAAAATCATTGGATTCCCCAAAGACTGAGACACACAAACACCAATAAATCCAATACATAAAAACATTGGTCTCTGTCGAGCTTGAAGATTTTACTTTTCAGCAGTTTACATCTGCCGTGCTCACCTCTCAGTTTTTTTTTCTTACTGTTTTAAAACTGTTTTTATCTCTCGGGATCATTGATTCGTTTGTTATCTTCGTGTGAATCGCATTATTTTTTATCATTATCGGGAAGTTTTGGTTCGTCTCGAAGGGGTATATTACATCACTTACTTGCCAGTGGAAGGCTTATGGAGTGATGTGAAACCATTGCATCTGGCTACTCAAGAGGCATCAGTGATCAGTTGATTGGACCCACTGGAATCAAGACTGGGACACCGAAGGCTGTAATTCTACTTGCATAAAGCGGTGTGGCTGGTGGCATTTTGCTCCTCATCAATATGAGATAAAATGAAGCTTCCTCATTGCTGTCATCAGTTCATTTGCACCAAATTTTCCCGCTGGGATTTTAAGGAAACTCTGAACCTACGGAGTACTGATTTCCTTGAATCAATTCACGTATGTATTCCAGGTTGTAATTCGAAAAGGAGGAGTCAAATCATAGTGAATCAGTAATGTAGGCGGTTCAAAAGAATCCCAATTGACAAGTCGTTAACCATTACCATATGCGGGACTGATGATTATTGCATTGATTTTCTATGGTCTTCTGAAAGATAACCTATAATTTTCGACAACTATTGAACAAATCTATATTTTGGTAGAAAAAAAACAGATTAGATTCTTAATAGCACTTATCACACTTGTGATGAAGCCAGCTTTCATCGAAGAAAATCACAGGAGGTGTGCTATTTTCAAACTCCTAGTGAGTTCTCAGATTTCACGTCCCGTGTGTAATCGCATTCTCTATCCCTCTGTGGTTCTTTCCCTCTCAGAACGCCACAACACAAACAGATGAACACAGACAGTGTATTGTGTCCGAACACATATCGAACGGGGTTGGTGTAGAGTGACGAGAGTAATGAAGATTAATACTTGAGAGATGTGCATCGGACACAATTGCGGATAATACGTTCGGGAAATCACTTTTGACTTACCGCGTGACTTTAATGTCGTAATCAACTTTGATCCGCGGACAACAGGTTCGACCAAAGCAGGGATTTTTAAAAGTTAGCTGTGAAAATGGAAAACGTCACATGTTAATTTTCCAAATACGCGATGAGTATAGTGGGTGAAGGTTATTTTGGGTAGAGGATGTCCGTGAGTTTCGGGGGAACTGTTCGTTTACGAACGGACCCATCGTTCTTTCGAAAAATCACATACACTAATTCCACCGAGGTTGTCGTGAACACAACACTTTACGCAATTTGTGCGAGTAAAATCAGGCACTGATTTATAGGCCGGCGAAGGAAAACTTCGACTCTTCAAACCTAATATCTGGTATCGTATTCCACTGAAAAATTCACTTTAACAATTTTTCCTGATGCGTAACAAACTGTACTTAAGTTATTCAAATGGATCTATTAACTTGCGTTTGAAAGCACATTAATTCGAAAATTTTTTTTCACGTTTGAAATCTATGAAATTCTGGAAGAATCAACATTTTCACATATGCTACTCAATGCTTTTTTGATTGATTATCTCTCTCTCTCTCTCTCTCTATATATATATATATATATATATATCAAATGCAGAACGACTGAACCACACAAGCATTTTAAAAATGATGTAGTTATCAGGTTTACCAATAAGACACACATATAGAACCGATCTCATAACAATATTTCTCATTAACTAAGTTAATGGAATTATTTAAGTCACCCACACTAATATTGATGTCCGGTTATGCTTCATAGTATGAATGGGATTACCGTGGTTCGAAACCACGCCTATCTTTACAGTACAAAACAACCTTGTCAACACTTTATGCGCGTTGTCATTTTGCAATCTTCATTAGATATCCATTCCTTACTTAGACTACCAACTTGGCTATATATCACACAATAACGGTAAAAAAAGATTTTTTATTTATCTTATTTACCTGCGTATATATTGAGCATGCAGCAGTGACAAAAATTTCAGGAATGAAGCTGCTATCCCAGGAAGATAAACAGATAGACAGAATCCAGTTGGTGTGGGGGCGTAACATCTAAATGTGTGGTGCATCTGGGCTGACAAGTTTGTAACTACTTGATCATCGCCACACCAATGACCAGCTAATCGATGAGTGAATCAATATTTAGAATATAAGCGGTGATTGTATCTAATAGTTAAAAGGCTTTTCCTTTGAAATAAACATCTTGTTTAGAAATATGCATTGCCCTGTGCCCTGGGCAGAAGACCCTCAGATGAAATCTGACAGGATTGTGGAACTTAAAACAGCCAGTGACGGTAGCCTTATCGGTACTGCATCACCAATCGCAAATTTCACCTAAAATCCCGTCAGACAAACAGACCTAACAGCATCTGAGGAGGGGAGAGTTGTTCAAGCAGTCCGGACTGTGTGCTACCAAGTGTTGGACCTGTATCGGATCAAGAAACAGCAACGATTTTCCATTTTCATAGAAGGTTCACTTTCCCACCACTTTGTATCGACTCTGGGATAAAAATATGATCAAAAATCAACGAATTTCTCTCCTTATTATCATCAGCCCTATCACCAAAATCACACAACTGTTCAGTCTGAGTGTTAGAGCAACAGTTGGAGACCCGTAGCTATCTCAGGGGACCTAATGTTGAAAATTCAACACTACCACCGTCACCACCTTTGAGTAAACTATTTATTGCGCATTTATTAGAATATACATACAAAACCATTTGAACAGTAATGGCTTTGTCAGTTGTTAATTTACGTTGGTTGTGTATTGCGCGAATGCATGCGCAGGTATTAAAAACAATTGTGTAGTTCCTACTTGATATTTGACAATGGTCTTACGAGCACCGAGGAAAGATGCATGAGACGAAGGTTGAGGGCAGATTGCCTGGTTAAAGCAATAATATAATGCAAACGTCTCTCATGTTTTTACCTCAAAGGTCACTTTCCAGATAGTTGTTTGTCCTAGAATGAAGGTAAATCCCATACAGTTAGTTGAATATAAAATGCAATAATGATAATAATAGGACAGGTGCACGCAAGGCCCAAGCGGGGGGGGGGGGGGGAGGGCAGCCACAACCATTTGAAGGTGACTCCCATGAAAAATCAATAACTGATCATGAAAAACATAAAACACCCCGAAAATCGAGAGGCCATCCATTGTGAAGTGGAGAAAAGTAGCTACTGTTGCTTTTAGTTTGTCTACATGTTTCTACAACTCCAGCAGCTGTAGTTCACTTACTCCAATCATCGAATTTCGCCAGACTGAATACAACTCCAGTTTACCCACGTCCTTGTTTGAATCGAACTGATTTGAGCCAAATGGCTAGAAGAACAAGTCAGCTAAACCTTTTCGGGTTCTGTCGGCACAGTCACATTTAGAGTATGATGATATTATACCCGGGTACGTACGAATCATTCACGCATTGACCCCGGTGGTATTTCCGGGAAGGGAATAGCAATATTCTGGTTGACCTAAAGCGTCACTCTCTCCGGTCCGTGCACACCTACCTAACCTGTGCTACACAGAAAGATAAATCACTTCTGAGCTCCCGATGAGATGAAAAACGCTAAGTTCATGGCATACAACAAACAGCAGAGTGAATGAGGGTGGGTTGAGGAAGTGTAGTTGGCCTATATATCAGGTCCAGGGTAATAGTGATGTACATACCTGATTCACTTGTGTATTTGCTTTCGGATCGGCGATTGGAAATTGATTGATCTGTTCCACAGATGAATACGGATGGGGCATCTGTGCCACCCACTTGACTCCGATCGACAAAGGTTTGGTTTGATCTATCAGATTTATGTCCTTGAAAACGTTTTCCAACGAGTTCGGTAGAAAAGAAGGCAATAAACGAGAGTAGGATGGACGTGGGGTGGATGGGAAGCAAGTGTATTACCAAGTTAATTCGACAAAGTAAGACTCAAAAATAACCGAACAAATTTGGTTTCATAATCAGCGTTCGTTTTTCAGCTCAGGCTTGAAAGTTCAACCGAAATTTGAGTTGTACATGACTGAAATTAATCGAATCAATGAATTGTAAATGTTTTTTCTTCATACTTTCAAAAGAATGTCGCAACTAACAAGATGAAAGAGAACTGGATTTGATTCGCTACTCAATCAGGGTTTGATTTCAATATTGAGTCCCGTGAGATTTGTTATCTTAGTGGAAATCAGATCCATCACGGACGAAGGGAATGTGTGTAGTTCAGCTCCAAAAGTACCATGGAAGCACTGTTCTGGTGTTACAATTTAGAAAACACTTATCAGCCGGGCATACACACGCAAAAAGACTACTTGGATTCGAAACATCACACATACGTTTGGCAGTTCGCTGTCCCAACTACAGGGCCTCATCCTGGCTGACCGTGAATAGACTGTTACACTTCTAGATTGAAGGAAATTCAGACAATCTCTCACTGTTTTTGGGTAAATCGGGCTCTATCTGGCGACGCTTATGTTTCGACTGGTAAACCGTAAATAAATGTCCTGCAGGCGGTTATTGTAGTACTTACTTTTCTATCTTGTTGGGGTATTCTATACTTCAACATTTGGTACGTTCACTCACATCTACCGACCCTTTAACCGGTTTAAAATAGACCTCCTCGAGAGCGTAACTGGAAGGAGCAATTACCGGAATATCTACAGAACGACGGCAGATGTAGTACGACTTTACCTCATAAATGAAAATACATAACTGATTCTAAATATTACTATTCATGGAAAGCNGAAGGCCTCATCAACAGTGGAGATTCTACTTAAAACTATTTCCTTAGCCTCATTATGAATTCATTTACGAAGTTGGCTTACCCCATCAGAAAGATAAACTGCCTAAAAATAAGTCCTTTATTCACTAAAGCAGATTGTTCACTACTAGTTGGGCGGAATGGGATGCACAGATAGATGCAAAATCCAGATAAAAGGCAAACAATGCAGAGGCCAAGTGATTAGGTTTTCATCACTGAAAAAGTTTCTTTTCTTATGTGTCTGTGAAACTGATCAATACCTTAAGTTCATTGGATCCACTACTCTTCCTTAAACACTAATTTAGATAGCAGGCCCTTGGCTGCATTGCGAGTTGGAATGAAATGAATCATATACATCCGGAATAAACACTTACTCGGAACAAAAGCCGTATCTGCTTTGCATTGGCCAATTCAGCGCGAGACATTGATCGAGAATCAGCTTGCTCACGACACGTGGCTGACAAGGTCAATGGTAGATATCCCCCTGGACTAGCCAGTCCGGATTGCCAAACCGATCGATTAGTACGAAAGAATCTGTCCGCTTCAGCTCCGAATTCTGTCACAGGGCGTTCGCCGGAAAATGTGATCGGTGGAATGGTGTATTTCTGATACACGGTACGCTTAGTTCCATTGCCATTCGTTTCTCCCGAATTGGACACTGGACGACCGCCACACATGATGATGTCACGCTTTTTACGTTCGGCTATGATCTCTTGATCATCACCCCATTTTTCATTGAGCCATGCTTCCACTGGCTCGGATTTGAGTATGAGATCAACTTTGTACTCTTTGCCAGGTTGGCATGATAGGCTAAAATAAATTTCACGCAAAACAAGGGCACAAAATAGAAAAGAGGGAAGTCAGTAACGGGAAACTGACTGAGTTTTGTCCAATTACTAACTTTCTCAGACAATTCCCTCTCTCCCGCTCACATTATCTTTCGGAATATGATCAGAATCCAGATTATTGGTCTTGATAGGTCTGATATATTTTTTTAACTTGAATTGTGAAAAGGAAACAGCGATAAACAGATACTGTCTGGAATGGAACAGTCAACTTTGCACACCTGTACGCACACTCACCCACACGCATCATTTCAAAGACCAACTCTTGCTTTTTTACAGCACGATTCACAGTTCCCCTTTATGGCATCTTGTTTACGCGATAAAGCCGGCAGTGTACCGGTATGACGGCTTGTGTGGTGACCAGGCTGGGGGCTGAACGACCTGCGTTGTCTGATCCCTTGATCGGACACCTTTGGGAACGTATTGATCAGAACCAGTGGCCGCCCAACTTGTCATCATTTCGGGCTACCGAGAGATGTTTATTTGAACCGTCAAAAGCAACGTTCACTGTTACATTCACAGTCTACTTGAGATTGGAGCCTGACAGTTAGTTCATTGAATCCTGACCACTGATCTGACAAAATTATGTTGTTTCTAATTGCTTGTTTTCTTTTTCACGCTCGTACGACACCAACTTAATTTTCTACTCAAACCCCGTCTCCCCTGTCACGCCCCACTGTTTCCAATTCATCAACCAGATAGACTGACGGTCTCAGGTAAAGTTTTGACCGGTTCTGTTGGACACTTCGATAAAAATGGGCGTTGGTGGACCTGGGTTCCGCCCAGACCCCATTTTGCGTGCTCGAATCTGAACTGGACCCGGTGTGTTCAAAACAACCCAAGGTGGCGTTTCAGGATACTCGTCTCAGTTTCAAAGTCAATGGACTATGATAGGTAGCACAATTTGAAAAGGAAACTCTGCATCAACCGAACGAAGTAAGGGCGCTACGCATGGATTACAATTTCAGTCAAGAATTCGGCCACAGAATGGAGATTTATGTCCCTCTCCTCGGTCCAGCAATTAAACGTTTCCTGGGATTCCACTTCGTAAATGAAATCTTAAATGTTAGATTTGAGGTGGAACGCTTTCATCAAATGGTATTTTTGAACTGTTTCACTCTGGCTTGATTCAATTCCGTACAAACAGGATTTGAACTAAGTGCGATACGGCTTTTACATCGTTTTACCGTTGTGGTTTTCGTCTACCCATATTGCATAAACATGAGGTTGATTATTGATGATAATAAAAAGGGAATAAGTCGGCTATTTTACTGTGTGGATGCATGGAGTGAATAGCAGGAGAAAGGATCTTGATAACGGGTTACCAAACTTTCAGTAGATAAAACGTAATGCAAAAGAACTGCATTTCGTTAGTTCCCAACTTGTGGAAGTTCAGTAGTCTAGGTATCACTTAAAAAGGGCTTCACTCACATCGACTGTCGTATTAAACGCAATACACACACAGGGAACGATAATGAACAAATCACGAAAACCACTTGTTGTCCGCCATTAGACCAAAGTTCACTTGCTACCCTGTTTCTGAGTGACTGAGTGAAACAGTTTGGTGGAGAAAGGAGACAAAATTTCGTCTCTATGAAACGGACAATGTCGGATTTCAGGGGATCTGGGGATTCGGGAGAAGGGGCGGGTTATGGATGCGACTGCATGTTTTGTCTGCACAGATGGTGTTTGGGGCCCGAAAAAAAACCTTTCGACCACTATCCATGAGAAGTTTGGGAAGTTTTACAAGTACAGTTGTGAACTGAATCGAGGATAAGAGACGACCATTAGTCAAATCGGGGAAGATTATACCCAATTGTTCATGAAGAATAAAAGTGATGAAGTTTTGGATAGGCATGGATGACACAGCTTTGCAACACGGTTGTGAATGTAATGTGATTTATTGTGATTTATAGAAAGTCAAAGTTATTAGATAGATTTCATTCTGAATGAAAAGAAATTACGATTATAGGGTTCAGGGTTCGGTAAAACTGAGAAAAGTGTGCTGGCAGAAGAATGAACCCCCTTGTATGGTCTCCAAAGCCGATCAGGGTCAATGAGATAACACACTTCCAAAAGAAAAGGGGGGGGGTTGTTCTATTCCATTACAAGTTGATTGGGATTAATCAGACAAAATAGTCACCTCTGTTTGTCTCTGTGCGCTACTCTCAAAATGCTTATAGTGTCACAGTAATGGGTTTTCTCTCATCATCCCCTTCTCACAGAGCAAATATTGCTCATTCCGATAAACGGTAGACAATTTATCACAGTCCAATCGATGCTTTCCACGAAACAGACAGATTCTACCAGATCGCTTTTCCTGGGGGATTAGTTATGCTCATCGAGCATACTAATTGTGGATAAGTCAAGTTTTTTTTGTGTGTGTATGTGTGTGTGTGTGTGTGTGTGTGAAAGCGTAGGCGGAGGGCTGAGACAAAGCAGTACAAGCATGGATCATTATTCGCACCGTCTGAGGTTCACGTATGTGTGTGTCTATGATTCAGTGAAATTCGTTACGCATTGCAAGACTTTGGGTAGGCGAAAGTGATTTGTCATGAGCGTGGGAGTTAGAACATAATCCCCAAAATGTACTTGCCTACGAAATGCGATCACAACGCTCCTGATTTCTGTGTATTGTTTGCGTAAGTTCTCGGAGTATTTTCAACGCGTATTATCAAGGGTAGTAAAAAAGGTTGTGACGAAAATATTCAAATCAGAACCGGTTAGTTGTTTGTACTATGCCATAAGTTTGAAGAAAGACAAGAAGAGTGACTGTATTAGATGACTTTCGAATTTCATAAGAAAAAATTATTGGAACGAAACGGTCCGGCACCTGGGATCAGCACTTGGTATGGCACTCAGGAGAAACGAGGAGTCAGTCACAAGTAAACCGAAAATGAAAGTTAAATCGGGATACCGACCGGGAACTCTGTTACGGGGGGGGGGGCTAGAGATGAAAGAGGTCGAAATTTTGTTCCATTTGCTCCAGTGAAGAGCGAATCTGGGTTTTGTAAGGTTCACATTTTAGAGGTCAGTTAAAGAAACAATAAGACATTCAAATAGACTATTCTAATATAATAGGAGTGACACATTTATCCAGAACTAGCAAAAGCAGTACCATTTTATTGCGCCAGAACCGAAACAATGTTTACGTCTCCAGATGTTAACATATCGTTTAATCTTCTCAATTGGTGAAGCAAATCCTAGTGATTTGACATGTACAGAGCAACAGGGGTTATTAGAACTGAAGATAGAAGGTCGGCTCCACGGAGACTGAACTGATTCCGACCGTAACTCTTGGGCACACAAAACTGGATATTGTAAACTGAGTAGCAATAACAATAGTTTGAAAAGGAAGTGGGATCAATTGTGTTTGCTTGCCATGAGGTGTTTTCTAGCTGATTACCCGGGGTTCCGTGTGACCGACTGATTACTGAATGCGGGTTGGATCATCGATTTCATCCAACTACTGTGGAAGGTGTTCGTTGTGATAACTAATGGTTTGTGTTCTGCCTAGGTATGCGTCCCCACGACTGCAGCGGAACTGGTATACATGAGTGAGACAGAAATGGACTGTCAACTGTGTACACGTTTACAGTGAGTAATGGAGGATTTGGGTCAATTTCAAAGGCGAATTTACGGTGTATATAGCAAACGAAGCGTGAATTGGAAAGCTAGGAAGCACTGGACAGCTGCTTCGATCTGGCTGGGTCTCATCAGTGGTACGAGTTCATCGACCCAAAGGGGATCGAACCCCGGATCTCATGGGCAGAACGCAAGCTTGCTACCCATTCGGTCACCGGGCATCTGATCAGACCGTTTTCATTTTCCATTTACGCGACCATTTATCCAACCAGGTCGAAACAGCTGTCCAGTGCTTCTTAGCTTTTCATTTCACACTTCATTTACTATATACACGATGAATTCACCTTTGAAATCGAACCAAATCCTCCATTACTCACTTAAAATAAGTAGTCAGGTTGTGAAAGTTTCCAACCGAATCATAACCCCGAAGGCTAGTGCTGAGATGACCAGGGTCTGTGGCCCGCAACAAGCTCGCAAAGATGGGTTTTGCTATATCGTGTAAATGGAAAATGAAAAACGGTCTGATCAGATGCCCGGTGACCGAATGGGTAGCAAGCTTGCGTTCT